GGTTGAGTGTATGAACCAGGTCTTTTATTATAAATAATCATTTGCATCCGAATTGATACGTTTTCACCACGTAAATTTACTAAATCTCCGCTTTGATCTACGATGCGTTTGGAGAGTGTGCTTATTTCATCACAGCTGATTGGCTTGTAAATGAGATTATGGACCGAATTCATGGAACGTATTTTTAGGTGTGTTATCTACATATGAACCACTAATGATGTTACATTCCAACGAATAGTATTAATTTTTAAAATATTGACAGCCTGATCCGAAACATATGTTTTTGTTGGCTGTGGCTCTAAAACTCTTTTATCAAAACCAAAAAGTTGACCAATTGATCGTTCCTTATCAAAGTAAAGCGGCTCCCGAGTGCTGGTTATATCCACTTGAAGAGTATTGTTATTGCTCTCAATTTTAAAAGCTTTTTCCATACCGGAATCTTTAAGTTTTTTATAAATATAATCAGTTATATCATTTAGTTCATAGGATCCAGTAGGAATTGTGATTACATTAGTTCCAATATGGAAGAGATTGTTCTTTTTCGTCTACATTTGGGATTGAATTGAACATATTAAAATCAATTAATGCACACTCAAAACGTCCATCCAATTCGATTGGTGGAAAATAGTTTGTATTTATAACAGAAGTATTTCCATTCAAGGACAAGGTCACTGATCTAGACAGAAAGAAATCTGTTGTTAAACTGTGGAAATGTTTATTTCTAATCTATTTTTATACCAAATTCATTACCTTTTTTAAGTCAAAATAAATTGATCAACACCTTTTCTATATCTTCCATTATCCATTATCGTTATCTTTACATCTAAGCAAGAATCAAAATTTATCCTCACAACATTTTTTACAAATTTCCACGAATGTGTCGTACCCCATATCTGTATTAATATGATCTCTATATATGTCGCATATTTAAATCGTCTTGTTTAAACATTATTATAAAGTTTGCATTATCACGAATCAAGTGTTTAGGTATATGGGTATATGTTTGACATACATAAAAGGAATCAATATTCTTATGACGACCCATACAAAAATATGATCTTATGTTGTCTTGTTTTTCACAAGCTACATCATCAAATATCATAATAGAATTATTTTTTGCTTCACTGGGGTCTAATACACCATAGTTATGAAAGAAAGTATGATATAGGTTTTAATAGGTTTTTATTAATTTTTCCAAGTACTCATATTTAGGTTGATATAAGCTCTTAGAAAACACGTAAACATTGTCGAATTTCAATCCGCTTGGACTCTTTATCAAACTGAGCATAATGTTGGTTTTACCACAATTTGATGGTCCAACAATAAGAGCTCTTATTGTATTAGGTAAGAGAGAACTATGTCGTGGAAGTTGTTTTTTTCTCGTTTTCATCGTTGATATTCTAACGATATTTTTTTGTTTATTAATTATTAAACTAATTCTCAATGCTTATGTACCTCATTCGATGAGAAATCTTTGATGATTAAAGATCAATATAATGGAGAAGCGTTTTTATAATAAATGTTTTCAATTGTAAACGAGGTGGTGGTCTTGTCAACAACTTAATGAATAGATTTCCGCTTGAAGCCCATATACCAGGATATAAATTTTGTGGGTCGGGTACACACATAGAAAAACGATTGAATCCAGGTGATCAAGGAATAAATAAACTGGATGAGGCTTGTAAAGAACACGATATAGCATATTTTTACATGATATATTTACATGATCGTCACATTGCAGACTCTATATTAATTGACTATGCTTGGTCACGTACTCTTGGTGAAAAAGCAGCAGCAAATTTGGTGACCAACATTATGAAAGCAAAGAAAAAATTTGGAATGGGAATATCAAAAACAAAAAAGAAATGTAAAGGGTAGACGACGAGAAAAAAAGTAAAGATAACGAATCTGTCGACTGTTATTAACGCTGCTACTAGAACATTAAAAAAACAAAAGCCATTGGACAATTTGAGTGCAATTAAAATTGCACGAAAATCAGTTCAATCGACAATGGGTTCAAAGAAAAACGTGAATGTACCAAGAATCATTCATGTACCCAAAACTTGTGGTTTTTTACCAATCGTATATATTTTGACTGCCCTAAGTGTCCTCGGTAGTTTAGCTAGTGGAAGTGCAGCCATTGCAAAAACAATAAACTACGCTAGAATGGCGAAAGAGGATATGGAGGAGAAGAAACGACATAATAGAAAAATTGAAAGTGTTGCTGTAGGAGAAGGGTTATAACTCAAACCGTATAGAACATGTTGGGAATTCTACCTGACACCATATAGTAAGGGATATGGTATTAAGAAGCGAAAAAACTAATTTGTCAGCTACCCAAAAGACCACTTTCAAATATAGACAAGAATTCAATAGATGTAATAAGAAATCTATTTTGTCAAAGGCAATGATGCCTGAAAATGGAAAGTTCCTCATCTTCAAGGCGGAATCTAAAAGCAGGAAGATTGGAAAATACCTTGTTCTAGAGTTGGAGGATTACTTTCTATACACCACGGAAAGGTATACACATCCTCGGGAGGAATTTATTGAGGAAATGGTTGATGGGAAATTTATTATTCATAAAAAGAATAATAATTTATACTTAGAAATAAGAAAATTAAATTATAAAAAAATAAATAAATAATAAAAAACCAATATTTTATATTACGTTGAATAAATACAATTTTAAAATCTATATAAACAATAAATGTTTTATTTCATGGGATGGATGGGGCGTATATAAATATTACAAGTTATGGTTTCTAGTAAACAGTATAGATCGAGTAACTGAAGAGTAATTACATAAAGAATATATATTTTTGATCTAAATTTATGCAGGTTTCAATAATGAATGTGTTAGCTCAGTTAACAAAAGCGAGATCTGCCTTGAAGAGAAAATTTGATGACCTAAAACATGTAAAGAATCAAAGTGTTATAGAGTTGGAGGAAATATTTAAACCTATTTCAGAACCTTTACATGAACTTGTTAACGAAAATAAAAACAGATATGTAGGAGCCAAGGTTAAACGTGAATTATACGGAAATGAAAAGTATGAGAATGATATGACAGATGACGTTGATCTGTACCATAAAACCAATGGGAGACAACATAAGACAAAACGAAACATATCTCATTACCGATCTATGAATGATAGTGATTCGTATAATGATTTCTTTTCACAAACAAATGTTTTTGAAAAAGGAAAGAAAGACGAAACATATAATGATGATGTGCACAAAGGGAGTGAGCCGGAAGCTATATCAATGCCTACAAAAGAAAATGAAATGAGGGAAGATATAAATATAGAAGACAAGACAGATAATAAAAATTATGATTTTAATATCAGTCATTTGAGTCGGGAAAATATATTGGACAAGGCTTACGGACCAAAAAAAGTTTAGATAAACTATTAACATTAGGGAATAGTGAACTAACAAGAGGAAACGCTATAGTCGAGTGCCGCGACTATAAGATACCCGTTACTGTTTTACACAATTTTAAAATATTTATTTTGCTAGTGGAATTTACCCAAGCGCCACCTATTGTCGGAGGAAGTATGTTGAGTATGCTTATAGTGACGTCACTGCCCATGTGAGGCCTTATAACCTCAATTTCTTTATAAATAGCGAAATAATGTTCCGATTTGAAAAATCTGTAATAAATCGATAGATATTAACAGAAATAAGTTAAACAAGGTGAAACGAAGGCATTCATAATAATATTATAGACGCCATAGTTTTCCGCGGTTTGTGGGCGTTAGAGTGGGCGTGGCCGAATGCAACTTTGTGGCAAGTTGCAGAGGCATCTCTTTAATACGTGTGACTGCCTCCACGACTACTTCTTCAAGAGCATCGGTAGAGCCGTCGATGTCCGTTGCGAGGTTAAATTGAGGGTTTAATTTGATGTGTGAGCTTACATACTTTTTGTATTTTAACCAGTTGCTTTTTGTGCTTTTAAGGAGAGTTATTTGCACTGGCGAATGGTGCTCTGGCGCTTATTAAATTGCGTGGAATATTTTTTGTCACCGCAAAGTCTATTAGGTCCGGGTCTTTCCTAGGGTCTGTTGGCCAGTATGTGGGGCTGCCAGGGGAAACGTATTCTAATTTGTTGTTCGGTTTTATGATTGCATTGTATAATTGCCTTCCTTTGGGAGCCACAAGGCGTGATCCCCAGTGCGTGTGTTTGGCATTATAGTCTCCTACGGCTTTAAAACGATCTCCAAGCACGTTATAAAAGTCCATTAATTGTCCTTCAGAAATGTAAAGCGAGGTGGGCAGTAGACAGCGGCTATGGCGAGGTATCCGTTGCCTGACTGCACTGGAATAGACGTGGCTTGCAAATAATTAGTTGCAAAACTTCGATGAAAGTGGTACTTGATGCGTTCCCTGGTTAAGATGCCGGCTCCGCCGTGGGCTTTACCATCTGGATGATCTGTGTGTATCCTCTTACTTGGAAGTTGTATATGTTTATGAGGTGCGTATCTGTCAGTAGCATAATGTCGATTTGATTATCATTCAGAAACTGTGTCACTTTATGGTTGTGCCGTGAAACGCCATTGGCTCACTACTACCCTAAAAAGGCAAAAATTTCGGTAATTGGGGGTCTCAATATAGGCCCTCACTAAAAAAAAAAAAAAAAAAGTGTTTGGTGTCATTGGAAAGCATTTTTCAAGCCCTTTCCAGTGGTATGCTTTATACGATTGTAAGTTAAAAACTGCAACTTTTCATTAAAACGCTTAACAATAAATTTTTACACCTCCGCGCACAAGCAGATATCAGCACACACTTGAGGGTTGGGGTGAGTTCGCACCTCCACGCACAAGCAGACCTGAGCGCACACTTGAGGGTAGGGGTGAGTTCTCAGGTGGACTCATCCAAGGGATAGCAAAGGGTCACGTCTTCCAGAAAACCAATGGAGGGAGGATCTTATAGAATACCTGACTCAGGCGACACATACATACCGAGTATCAGTGCATACAAGTATTTAAAATTTTAAAATCAAGTCAGCTAAATGTAAAACTGATGTACTATAATCAGCCTATGTCCTATGTTCTAGCTACTTTCAGCTTAAGGCCAGAAATTTTTAATTGCTTCACGATCGAATGCAAGTGCTGACAACGTGGTTACAAGTAAATATATATATAAAGGTAAAATGTTTATTTCATAACGATTGTGCATGACCGTTTCCGATTCCTTTTAAGTCTTAAAAAAAAATATTTATTGCAATTGACGGTGTTCTGACCGTTACTTCCCACACACCTGTATTTACATTCGTGGAACCCTTGGGCATCGTTCTTATCAAGTGAACATAGAAAGGGAAAATCTTTCTTACACGGAGATTGTGCACGAACTATCCCGCTGTCCGTAGAAACCATTAAATGGAATATTTACTACACTTGTCATTTTCCTGACCAGTCTTCCGCACACACCGATATTTACTTTCACTGAACTCTCAGGCCTCATTATCATCATCCGTTAATTTGTTCGCCATCCTTGTCTTCCTTATCCTTCAATACCATATGACTGAAGTCCGGGGCTCCTATGTATACTCAAAACCAATACGATTGGTTCTAGGAGTAAAACATACCTGTATGCACTCCCTATTGGTAACATTAGGTGAACATAGTCTAGAGACTATATAAATGACACCACTCAAATTGCTCAGAATCAGTTACTCAAAGGCCTCAGAAATACATCACTATGGATCTTACTGTTGAATTTTATAATTCTTTTGAGGCTGATAAGACCCTCGTTAACCAACCTTTCGATATAAACGTTAAAGTTATCGGGTCAGATGAAATCGATGACCAGGACTCCGATGTGGAAATTATTGAAGATTCTGAGCCGGACTGCGCATTGGATCTCGATGATGAAGACACCGTGGACCGATACCTACGAGAAGTATTCGAACCACCCTCATCGTCAACTCAAACCACTCCATCAGAATTGGATTCTTTAGGCTTTGAAGACTTTCCTATGGGTAAGGATACCCAGGAAGTTCTAAGAAAACTTATTCTACTTGAACAAAGCGAAGAGCAATATAAGAATATGCAGTGTGCTCAAACGTTTGATTTGAATGAGTCTGAGCCTAGCCTGTTTCCAAATGATGATCACATTTTTAATGAGATAATTGAAAATGAACCGCAGACAAAATATCAACAACTTATGGATGACGGACAGGATAGTGTTTTAATGGATGTTCTCTTAAGATTAGATTCCTAATATTTGTATATTTGTCTTAAAACATTATGAAATAAAAACACGTTATATAAATTCAATATTTAAAGTTTTTGTTCTTTATTAGATATTTCTCTTTCGTTTTATTTATACTTTTTAATTCAGCATCGTGCATCAATATCATGTGCATATTAAAATCGTCTCGCAGCCAAAATTTCCGAACATCAGTACAGAAATAACAGTAGTAATAAAAGGACTTTGATTTTGTATAGCTAAAGTTGTGTACTTTTAAGGTATGAACTTTTAGACTGTTGCGCGTAGTAAAAGATTTTGATTCCGAGCATAACTCACAATGAAACTTGCCCATTTTGATGTGAAACTGAACTGAGTTTTTTTTAAAAAAATACATCTATTTTAAAGAGTTTTAAATGAAAAATTTTATATTATATACTTTAACTGTGTTGTGGTACACCTGTATATAATATATACATATATATAGTGTGTACATGAAAGAGTGAAATAGATATATTTCTTCATGTATAAAAGACCATGTAATTCATGTAACAAATTAGTATTCAACGACTAGTGACTAGAACACCACGACTCCAATCTCTAACCAATCAAAAATGGTATATAAACATTTCTTTATGTATATAATCCTTCCTAATCTACTTATTCCTTATAGGATTTCTTAGAGACCCTAAATGAATCAAAACCTGTTATTGGTTATACGAAAATTGAAGATCTATGTATTGGGTTTGATTATAAGATCACCGGATGTAAATTAAGGAAAACACCTTATGGAACTAAAATATGCCTTTATTTAACCAATAAGGAAAATGAGGATATTTGGATATTTCTACCAAAAAGTTATGTAAACAAATTTTCTACTAAGACACCATTTAAGAAATTGACTGAGAACGGAATTTCTCATATGGTATATAAAGGAAAGGATCCCAATAGATATAGCTGTGCTCAAATTGAATTTATCAGTAAATAAATGAAGTAAATAAATGAAGTAAATAAGAAATTCCCCTTATAAAAGATTGAATTTCTTATTCCAAAATCAGTCTTAGTTCAACCTTAACAAGTTACAAGTCTTACAAAAATGCACGCTAAACAAATTGAAGTCTTCTTGATGCAGTTTGAAGACATGTTATTCGAGCAACACCTCAGGAGGCTTGAATATTTAAAAGCCACCCTTGAGGACTTAGCGGAAAAGGAGTTAATACATTCAAAGTTTGGATTCCACTACAAACTTTGTCCTTGGAGTGATGAAGATGCTACATCTGGACCAGACACATGTCAGTGTCATATGCTGCCGATATTAGAAGACGAGGCCCTTAATATTATGCTTAAATATTATAAGTTAAACCAGAGATTGTATCGCTCAGAAACATTAAATAAACTCAACTAATAATAAAAAAAATTTTATTTACTTTTTGAAATTTTTCTTAAACATTTTAAGTATTTGTTTATCATTATAAGTAAAGTCGTTTTTCTTGAAATTTTTCAGGAAGCACTTAAGTGATTTATTTCTACATTTAAAAAGTCCGAACAACATACAATAATGACCACAGGTGTTAGAAAAATATCCTTGGGCGTTTGATCTTAAAAATGTTATGAATTCCTTTTTCTGCGGATATTGACCATATGAATCGAAAAATTCAGCTGACTTAGGGCTATCAAAATAGAAGGCAATCCAATGAGTTCCAGGTTTATCTGATGGATCGGTATTCGCAATAATAAGAGCCGGATACTTTTTTATAGTTTCAGGTAACTGGTCCGAAGGGAAAACTCCTTTAAAAATCAATCGTGTTTTTGCATGCTTTGATAGCAAATATTTAATTTGTAATGTATTCATGTTAAAGGAGTAATCGTATGTTTCTATGCTTATCAATATCAATCATGGAATCGTATTCGCAGTACACCAGACAAGTAACTGCTTCAGTAAGTGGTTCAGAGAATCTTCCTTCGATTCGTATAGTTCCTTGGGTTATTAAATTCGCACAAACACTCGAATTTGAATGATCGGCAGTTAGGTCAAAAGCCAATATAAAACTGTTTGTGTCAAACATTTCCTTTGTAATTTGCAGACCACGATCATAATGTTTTATCCCACTAGATCTGAATAGCATATTATAGCCCCGTGAGCTCTGAACATTTTCACCATTCGAGTAATCAAACTCAAGAGCTTGAGAAGGAACTTGAACTCCATTCACCAATAAGTTAAATCGTTGAATTTTAAAATGTTCAAAATGAAATGGATCTAAACCACGGTTTCCTGAGTATGAACGGTTTTTAACCATACAAAACGCTAGAAAATTGGGTAGCTGTCCAATAACTGCATTGTCTATAGATAATGTATTATTTCCTGGGTATATTGTAAAAGATTTTACTTCAACCTTATTGAAAGGGTATATAGCATTTTTGGTCTGTAAAACTCGATGGTGAGCCAATAAAATGCTTGGGTTAACTGTTATATGATTCATGAAAAGTTGAGCTTCCAGTATCTTTAAATTTGACTCAGTACCAGTTTCCATTAAATAAAATGCAGTCTTTTCAATATTAAAATTAATTCTTAAATCAACATTATTTACTAGTAGTTTTGGTTGATTAAATATATCGCCGTGGATTTTTCCGAAAAGTTCCACCTTATTACTATTTTTAAATAAATTTTTAAGCTTTAGATTGGTATCTGGATAAACATATTCGCCTGCCGTTATTCGTCCAAAATTCGGGAAATATCCTTGGGAGGCTAAGTGACTTTCTGAGGCATCACTTCCATAGTTTAAAACTGTTTGCAAATACGATCTATAATGATAATTATTATCACTCTGCGATACTAATATATTATTTAAATAAACTGAGGAACTTCTAAATATAGAGTGTAAGATATTGTTCACTACACCGACATCGTTTCCTACAATGCCGGTACTATCACTTTTCTAAGTTGCACAACAAGTCGTAAATAAACACTTGATAGGTCTCGATATGTTTCACCATTTCCTAAACAGACAAATTCTATTGATGATGCTCCGTCTAAAGAAGCAATTGGATTATATGAAACTTCTTCAGTTCTTATAATGGAACTTTGCGTGGGATGTGGTGCAAACAAATCCAGTTCACTCTTCATGCATTCGATATGGTTATTCATTTTGTCTTAGAAAAATAATGTCGCTAATATTTAATTTTCTTATAGTTCTTTTTCGTTTATGATGCGGTTTGGTTTGTTTACGCTGTTGCTTGGATGTTAAATGATGTCGTTTTTTTCTGGTGCCTCGCTTTTTATTTCTTTTTCCTTCCCCGTTTTGGAATCGGGTTATTTTATCAATTGCTCTATCTGATAAATTTTTCAAAGCAATTTTGCTCTGTTCTTGCAGGATATTTCTTAAGGGCTTTCTCCCGATTTCATTGATTACAGCCTTTCCAGTAGCAGCAGCCTGACTTTTTATAGCAGTTATACCCGAAAGAAAAAGTGGTTTGATATAATTAAAAAGACCACTAAAAAGTTCCCGATTCCTCGTCCTTGTTGAACTATTCGTGGTGATACATAAAGACTTCCAATATTGCTTAAACCACCCCCACATTGGTTTAAATAGTATTCGTGATAAGATTTCACCATGATGACTGTTTTTATTATGAGTAAATAATTTTTAAGCCCGTATTATTTATAGACTTTACAACGTCCTTCTTCTTCTGAAATGTAGAGTAACAAAAATCGGAACTGTTGACGTTTCAAATGGAACCTTATATCCGTTTGAATCAGTAATTAGTATTGAGATTTCATTTGGTGACCATATATCAAAGGATAATATTCAATGTTTTTAAATTGAATATTTTTTTTCTTTTCCATTATAATACATTACTCGAAGACAACGAGGTTTTTTACAGCCTACAGATCTAGGTTTAATTATGTCAGTATAAATAAAAATCAACCCATTTTCAGGTGTTTTTGAATCAACGCTTACATTTTTATATCTAAATGTTTCAGCATTTACTAAGCTAACAAATTCCGTTTCTTCACGTATTGGAATTTCTTTATTGGAAGTTTGATTAATATAATTATTGAGATACATGTCTATAATGCCAACTTCCCAATCATCGTTCATGTCTTGTGGGATATTTACAATGTTTGTAAATGCACACTTTACGTTATCAGGAAATACATTTAATGAATCATTACTGAGCAATGTGATAAACATTTCATCTAAATTCCCCATTTTTATTATTTAAATTAAGCACTATTGATAAGAAATCCAACTGATTTTGTTTTTTTCCTATTTGGTTTTTAGCACGAACCGATCTCATTAATTTTTCACGTCCAGACACATATTTAAGATCTTGAAATGGATTTGAATCTATTTTATATTTTTTTCAGCTTTACCCTTAATTTACGTTGTTTATCATTAAGCTTCACTTTTGTCACTGCTCTTCTTTTAATATCTTCTTTATCGTCTAAAAAAGAAGTATCACTTAATTTTCGCTTATCGTCTAACAACTTTGTCCGTTCCTCGGTCTTAAGTTCTCCTTCATCACTATCAGTTGTTAAATTTGTAAGGACTTCATTTTTTGGTAATTTTTCTTCATATTTTATTATTGATTCTGAAGTATCAGGTTTTGCATCATTCCAATCTAATATTTGAGTTTCATTAATTCTGCTAGATATAGGGGTTGATTTTGAATCAATATTTCGAAAGTTAAATGATTTATTACGTTTTTTGTTTTGGTAGTAGCATAATTCTTGCCGTATTTTGATCCATTTGTCATAATCACTTATTTTATTGTTATTCAAAATTGGTAAAAATTTTATATCTATTAGTTCACTACCCCGGTCATTGTTTACCAGTTTTTGGTATGCGTTGGGATGCATTAGAACTACTTTGCTTAAGTTATGTTTATTTTTAATCATCTTTTAAAATTTTTCCAAAAATTCCGGAAAGCAATGAACTGATTAAAATAGGTAGGAAACCACCCTTCTGAATAAGAACTTTTCTCTTAGAGCTTAGGGTACGCTTTGGACATGAGAGATATCGCAATGCATTTTTATACTTTTTAAGAGCATTAAGATGTGATTTTGTAACTTTATGATTGCCTTGTAATGTGTTTAAAACAATCTCTACTAATGTTTTTACGAGGTCACTATCACTATTACTTATAATTGCCTTTCGAAGTTTATTGTTGGCCTTTTGAGCACATACAATAAATGTTTGTTCGCTTTCAAGCGATTTAGATTCTTTTTGTAAACCATTTTCGTCTGAAAAGCACACGGTATATTCGGAATTAAAAATATCCGTTCTAAATCTTAAAAGATCGTTGATTCCTTGAGTAAGATCAATAAGTAAATATCCGTGTGGTTGTTCCGTTACTTCCTTATATATTCTAAATAACTCAGTTGGATTTTCAGGATAAATTTGTCTTGCTAAACATTGAAATTGTAGTTTATCACGAGGGTTTTTAAACATCACAATATATTTTGTGTTTAATGATATGTCTCGGGTATGCGATGACTTATGGAATATATTTTGAGTTACAACTATTACAGATAAATTCCTATGATGTGATCCTTTTGTAAAGAGCTCACATACATTTTTATTAAAAGCCCCCATCATCAAGTCATCCAATATTAAAAGAATGGGTTCATTAGTTTCGTTTTCAATTACATCAGGAACCCCTTTATAGTACTCAACATTATTAAAGTTTTGCTTAGCACTCTCCTCTCCATAACACCAAATAATTCGATTTATCGAAGTATTTAGCACATCATTCTTCTTGTTTATTAAGTTTTCCAAAAAAAAGTTGTTTTTCCTGATCCTGATGGTCCGCAATTCAACATTGTAAAGGAATGTATAAACTGCGTAAACATTTTATTTATTTTTATTTTTTATTATATTTGAAATAGATTTTTTATCTTATCCTTAAACTACATTAGGTTTATTTATGTTTTTCCTGATCGCGTTTTTTAGAGCAGTTCTTCTCGAAGTGAGTATCAGATCCACAATAATTGCAATAAATCAGTTGTGTGTATCCCCTTTTGCGCGGATCATTACCAAACAAACCCTTGAATGACTCCATTGTATAAGACAACTTGTAGGTTCAACTATTTATTTATTACTGAAGCTTAAACATACGTTATAGTATTACAATATACTTCGTAATTTGAGTTTTCCAATATTACAAATAGCTTAAACAAATTATTTAGGGAACATCGTAGAGGAAATTTTGTCTTATGTATTTTACAATTGGTGAAAAAATTGGGTAGTTGGGTTAAGCTTCTTCCGATATCTATATCGATTATGGTCGCTGACAAATACTTTGATAAAAATTTTTTTTAATTTCACCACGAACAATAATTGAACTATACTTATTGAGTGGGGAGAGAATTTCTTCTAGGGCTGTATACGGTATATCTCCAGCGGCCCATTCCAA